GGTTGTTTCAGGGTTCTATCTGTGAGTTAGTCGTGCCCTGACTTAGATCAGCCCAGAGGTTGTTTCAGGGTTCTATCTGTGAGTTAGTCGTGCCCCGACTTAGATCAGCCCAGAGGTTGTTTCAGGGTTCTATCTGTGAGTTAACCATGCCCTGACTTAGATCAGCCCAGAGATTGTTTCAGGGTTCAATCTGTGAGTTAGCCGTGCCCTGACTTTGATCAGCCCAGAGATTGTTTCAGGGTTCTATCTGTGAGTTAGCCATGTCCAGACTCAGATCAGCCCAGAGGTTATTTCAGGGTTCAATCTGTGAGTTAGCCATGTCCTGACTTAGATGATCAGCCCAGAGGTTGTTTCAGGGTTGGATCTGTGAGTTAGCCATGCCCTGACTTAGATCAGCCCAGAGGTTGTTTCAGGGTAACGATAAAACCTGTTCTTTTTTAATTGAAGAACGAGCCAGCCCTTAATAAAGATAACCACTCTAATATATACCTACCCTATATCTTGGTTTTTACGTTTTTCACCTCGTCGCGCGCTTAACCAAGATGGCGTCCTTAGCCTTGATCCCTTTTTGATATTTAATAATTTGTCTTCACCTTCGTGTGTTTCTCTCGTTTCCTCCACGAGTGTTCTCTCCACCTCTGCGTCACAATCGTCTTTAAGCTTTTGACCGTTATTAACGTCATCGTGGTCACATGACTCGACGTCATCCGTTCTTGGGTGGGATAGCTGTGGATCGTGTTGGCAGCAGAGATTCCAAATAAGGTCATGGTTGTAAAGAGATGCTTCCATGAACTTGCTTCCCATGATGCCACACAAGGGAACGAAGGCGTGGTGTGCCATGGCTGCAGAAAATGTTTGACAAAGCTCTTCGTACATGGATGTCTTGTAGAACGCTTCCACTTGCTCTGGTTTTGTGATGTCCCCTTCTAGACCTTAATGGAGTTAATATAATGAGATGGAATGGATAGATGAATGAATGAATGGGATGGGTGGGAAGGAAAAGGGAAAATGTTTGACAAAGCTCTTAATGCGTGGATGTCTTGTAGAACGCTTCCACTTGCTCTGGTTTTGTGATGTCCCCTTCTAGACCTTAATGGAGTTAATATGATGAGATGGAATGGATAGATGAGTGAATGAATGGGATGGGTTGGAAGGGAAAGGGATGGCTCTTCGTACATGGATGTCTTGTAGAACGCTTCCACTTGCTCTGGTTTTGTGATGTCGCCTCCTAATGGAATTAATGTGAGATGGAATGGATGGATGAATGGATGGGATGGGTAAATGGATAAATAGAAATAAATGGATAGGACAAATGTATGTATGGGATGGACAGATATGACGAAAGGACGGATGAGATAAGATGAATGCATGAACTGCGCAAACTACCAACCAGAAATGCATAATAATAAACTTATTCACCTTGTGTCTCAGGTATCTGTGGCACAGGAGAATCTGTAAGAGAAACCGAACTTGACACCACAATAAAGGAAGACCTTCCCAACTTATATTCCTTCTTCTTCAGGTGAACCAACTCGAAACAAGAGAAAAACTGCTGCAGAGGAGCTATCATGAGTTCTCTTGCAAGCTCACGCTCGAGCTTTAGGCTCAACACGGTTAAAAGGTCAACGTAGTTATGACAAAGCGCTGCCCTTGCGTCCCCTCCCCCAGGAAACTTGGTATTCCAAGAAGACAGGATCCGAAGAACTGGCTGAAACAGAGACTTGAATAACGTCTCGAAGTTATCGACGAAGGTTTCTTTGGACATATAAGGGATGCAGTATTTGAGGAGAGCAAAGGTAGCTGCTAGAGAGGCTTCACCGCGTGCGCTGAACTTGGTGTGGATAGCTTTGATCTGAAATAAAAGATAATGCGTTAACTCAATCGGCGGTTATGGTGTTCCTATTCTAATCTTAGATCAACCCAGACGTTGTTTCAGGGTATCAACAAATTGAAAGGTGTCATCTCTTTTCCACAAAGAAAAAGATCACTTGTTCGCCCCGTATCTGTCAGTGTAGTGATTGCTGAGGATACACTGTCATCAGAGGGCGGTTTCTTTAGGGGTTACAGTGAGGGTTCAGCCAAATCTTAATCTGTACCCTGTATACAAAACCCCATTCATTTGATTTGATACTAACGAAAATAAAGTTCTATTATTGTCGCTAAACAATGAGTCTAGTGCGGGAATTGAACCCGAGCCCAACGGGTTAATGACCAAGATTTGACCACGGCGTCATAAGTTTCTATGCCTTTGAATACATTTTAAAGATAATTTAAACCACAGATTTAATAACATAGAAAGAAAAAAATTTTTACAACCACCATGTCGGCATATGGCAAATACTGATGCAGAACAACCACCAAGTCCCATCAAAAACCATTAATACTTACTATTTTTTCGGCATATGGCAAGTACTGATGCAGAACAAACGCCTCTCCATACAACGCACAAAAGTTTCCTAGACAATACAGCACCCATTTGGCCTTACGATCCTCATCCTCAAACTCATACTCTTCTACACCGACCACATCGATGTAGCACTGAGGTAACATGGTTAGGAGTTGATTGGCAAAGTACTTGGAAGTCAGGATGGGCCCCAAGCGAGGTGCCAGCCACATGACACTCTCTGCAGCGATCCCTGATACATAAGACGTGCTGAGGTCTTCCTTGGGTGGCTCGTATTCTTTATTATCTTGTTTGGTATCTTGGTAGAAGACATCGGCCGAAGGACGTTTGGGTTCTGAGTCTTCTTCACTTTCTTTGAGGAGGTTTCCTGATGATTCATCGTCTGCTTCATCGCCGGAGTGATTGTCATCACCACCACCATCATCATCATCATCACCGTCGTCGCCATCATCATCTCCCCTCCTTTCTTCTTCTTCATTTGCTTCTCCCTTTATCAAACTATCTTCCTTCGAGCCATTTTCATCAACATCTTCAGTGACATCCGCCATTAAATTTCCTTTTCTTTCACGAGCTATTTCCTCATGACCTACATCATCTTTATCTTCAGTTCCTTCAAAATTACTTTCTTCAGTTGTCTCCTTATTGCTATCTTCTTCCCCCTTGCCGTCTTCTTTCTGGGTAGTTGGTTGTTCTCCTGGTAAAGTTGAAAAATTCTCTTGGTATTGTAATAGTTTTTCAGCTTCTTCCATCTGTTCATGTTTGTTAGCACCATCTTCCTCATCATTTCCACTAGAAACAGGGTTAAATTCATCTTCTCTAGACTTTTCAGTTTCAAGCTCCAGAGTCTCATCATGGCCCACTTCATCCGGTTGTCCATCCTTGTTCTCGTCATCATCGACAAATATACCTTTGTCCTTTTCTTCTTCTTGTAACGCATCTTCCTTGTCTTCTTGGGGCGATAAGACTGGCTCATGGAAACGTTCTTGTTCTTCATAAGGCTCATCTATTCTTGGAATATAATCATCTTCATCCTGATCACTGAATGGCGCGTTCCCAACATCTTCATCATCATCGTCGCTCGGGTATGACGGCTGCTTCTTCATCAGCTTCTGATCCTTTAACTTCTCACTTTCACTCTCTCCACCATCAACAGTGATCCCATCATTGCTGTTGACAGAGTTGCTATCGGGTGAGCGCTTCGTCTTCTGTAACATTAACTCAAACGCGACCGCATCGACGACGAAGCTTGCGAAATGAATCAAAAAGGTTTCAAGTCCGAAGCGCACGATAATCTGAGACAAAAACGACTGCGCAGCAAGGTGTTCATAGTTGTGCAGCATCTTAGAGTCGTAGAGCTCGATTAATGGCTTCAGGAAAGTCTTAACGGTAACCTTGGGGCCAATAGCTTGAGCAAGGAGATCAAAGAGGTGCGTAAAAGCGTAAAGGCGTGTATCCTGATTCAAAAACAAAGGCTCTAGATGATACAACAGTAAGTGAATCCCTTCGTCATCTAACTCGGGCAGTAATGAAGGAATCAGCTCCGTTGCTATGTCAACCTGAAGGGTCGAGTATTCGGACTTGTTACTGAAACAGTGTTCGAGTCCCTCGAGGGATATCCTCGGGAAGGGATGTCCGAGGGATCTCTCTAGGTTCTGCGGGTTTTCGTAGCGAAGTTTGAGGCGAGCTCTGGTGAACTTGACGAGGAAGGAATGTAAGTCTCTGAAGTATGAAGGAAATGGGAATAGTCCTGTCTGAGGATGGAGTAAAAGTCCAGTGGAAAGAGATGGAAGGGAATCTTTTTCATTTTCCCATTTTCTGTAATCTGTCGATCCCTCGTGGATGCTGCTATCTTCTGATGAATGTAACTTCAGCATTCTAAGGACCCCACTCCTCACAAATCTATAATAAAAATAAATGTCAATGATCATTGATATATTGTATATTATATATTGCGATGGATGGATGGATGGATGGATGGATGGATG